ATGTTTGTTGTTCTGCTCTGAAGCTGTACACTGACTCACTACAAACCTTTTAAACAGCATCATATGAAGGTACGTCCATTAATTCCTTTCCTGTAAATGTGTGTCATGAGTCAGGAGTTGACTCACTTTCTATACTTTGGACGCTGTTTTCGTGTTTGTTCTGGGGGACGCTCCACGTGACATATACCAGGCATTGACCTTGTGGCCCACTTAAAGCAGCCAAACATGTACAATAAGTTCACACTCTGTGGTAACCTCACATGGACGCTTTACTATCTGGATTGTGCAACAGGCCGAGGCACATGTCGGTGGAAAGACTTCGCGGTGGCCTGGATGCTGCTGGCGTCGCCCTCTGTTAAAGTTTGAGCTTCGTAACTATGTTCATTTTTAATGAACAGAATATTTCTTAGACGGTTCTGAAAAGCTCTAATTAACGGACGACTGGACCAGCAGCTCACCTGCTGTGATGCTGAAGCTGCTGGCAGTTGTTGGTACTCCGTAACCATGGCAACAGCAAGATGTGACGCTTTAATTTGCTGCCTTCAGGCGCTGTCTGGAACTGAGATTAAATTAAAAACGACTCAACAAAGTGGCATTTTGTGTCTGTATTGACCCTCAAACATTGACGGTTTTGACGTGTAGCTGCAGTCAAAGTTAAGCTGTTTTCTCTGTAAGTGCTTTTATGTGTTTTATTTCAATAAAGACGCCGATACTTCATGAAGCTGCGTTCAATTTCAAGATAAAGTCACATTAAGATTAAATCTGAACTTATTAAGAGATAAACAAAGGCATGTTAACATCACATTAAAGTCAAATTAACTGTGCTCTAATAGATATTTATATCATATATTATAATATCATTGCGTTTTAATCTCTAAAACATAATTTTTACTCTTCTGTTACCATGTGATGGGGAGACTGTGTGTGTAAGAAGTAAAACTAAATATGCCAGAACACTTTTTCTAACTTTATAGATTTATGTAACATCTGCAAACACTAAACTGTATGTACACCATCAAATAACAGAAAGCATCTGATATCGAGTCACCATTAAATTACAGAAAATATTTGGGATTTGTTTGTTTGTTTTGGTTAATTAACAGAAAGTTTAAGTCTTTTTTTACAGGACAAAGTCCAGATAATGAGCTTGTTTTATGGATCTACTGAACATTTACTGTTTTATACAGTAGATATTGCAATAAGAAAACAGAAAGTGTATTGAGTTTTTTATGGCGCTATGCCATTAATTTATTAAGTCTTTTCTTGTTGTTGTTGTTGTTGTTTTGTTTCTGTACACACATCATTATACAATAGAATTTTATCTATTTACTTCTATTTTTTAACCATAGTGTCTCCATGAAAATACAGAAAATGTCCTGCTTTGTTTATTTATTTGTTTGTTTGTTTGTAGTTTGTTTTTCTACAAACACTGTTAATTAACAGATTTTGTATCTCTGTGTGTAATGCTGCTGACAACAATGTGAATTTCTCCACTGTGAGATAAATAAAGACATCTCTTATCTTATCTTATCTTATCTTATCTTATCTTATCTCATCACATTTGCAGTTTTTATTCTGTAAATATACCATTAAATAACAAATAGTGTCTTATGTTTACAATTTAAATTTTTCTACTACAGAATCTCCATTAAAATACAGAAAATGTCCAGTTTTTCTTTCTTTTCTTTCTTTTTTCAAAAACCTTTTTGTCATTATTTATTTGTTTATTTTACTGCCAACACTTTTAATTAACAAAAAAAGAAAGTTGTTCTGGGACAATAAGGAGCTGCCAGTACTTTTTCTGATATTCTACAATATTCTTCCTTGTTGTGTGCATATTTTATCTTATTTTATCAAAGATTCATTATCATATAATTCATTACTGTCAAATGCTGTTGATTAGTTTCATCTGGACACTGATTCTATATTTTATAAAATAAGATATTCATATCAAAAGTCACTACAAATGTGGGATAAATGCACCTAAATGCAGAATAAAATACGCATTTTATTCTTATGTGTTCATTTGGATTAAAAACCCCTTTTTTCCTCTCCTACAGATCCTGTGTTTTACGGGGTCCGTGAACGCAGCAGCAGCAGCAGCAGCTGTCGGAAAGTTCTGGCTGCCCAGACGCACAGCTGGAGGGAGGACAAGTGGACGGACGTCGGTGTTTTCCTGCACAAAGACGCTCTGACATCTGTTTTAACGGACTCAAACGACTCTGAGCGTCTTCAGCGTCCATTTAAAGCCAGAAAACTGCTTTTGACGTGAGGAGAAGTCCATAAATTTGACCCTTTTTGCGTTCCAGAGGCGCTGCTGGTCAATGATTGACGGAGTGTTGGTGTAAATAAACAGCGTGATTAGGAGGATCGATAGGGCAATGAGTAACCTGCCCACGTTTTATTTGTCCTGACTGTAAACCTGCTGTGGTGCTGCTGCATGTCAGCTTTCCACTAGAGTGACCTCGAGCTTTTCTTTTTTTCTTTTCTTTTTTTTTTCGCCTCCAGCTGCAGCTCCAGCAGAGACAGAAGCTCCGAACGCCGCCGCCGAAGCCGGGAGCAGAACATGGGATCCGGACGCTTGGCCTCCGCGTTGCTCGCCGTCGTCCTGCTTCATCACTCCTCCGGCTTCTGGATCATCAACGTGGTGTTTCCTCCCAAGACCAAGACCGGAGCGCTGAGCAACAGCACGTCGCCGCTCATCATCGGTAAGAATGTCAGATAATAATAATAATAATAATAATAATAACAACAACAACAACAACAACAACAATACAATCTCAAAGGTCCTCAGAAACTAGAAAGACAAGTAAAGTTGCTTTTTACTTAATTTTTTAAAAAGAAAGTATAGAAAGTATAAATATACATGTTCATCATAAACATAACAGGTCAATACCCCAAATAATAATAATAATAATAATAATAATAATAATAATAATAATAATAATAAGATAAGATAATACTTTGTTGATCCCCTTAGGGGAATTTCAGTATACTAACAGTCATAATAATACCAATTTCAATAATTTACTGTTAGAAAAAAGTATAAATATACATGTTCATCATTTAAAAAAGGCTCAAACCTAAAATAATAATAATAATAATAATAATAATAGTAACAATAAGAAGAAGAAGAAGAAGAAGAAGAAGAAGAATACAATCTCAAAGGTCTTCAGAAACTTAAAAAAAAAAAAAGTAAAGTTGCTTTTCACTGCATGTTTTTTAAAGAGAAAAAAAGTATGAAGGTACGTGTTAAAATATATATATATCAATCACAATTTTTTTTGTATTTAAATTGGCAAAAGTGTTGTTTACAGATATTTGCTGCTATTTATAGAGAAAGTCTACATAGTAAGAAGTTGGTAAAATCACAGAAAACTACATTTATTTACATGTTGACTGTAAAAAATAACAATAATTAAAACTGTAAATAACATCCACATCAAAAGTCTGTATTGATGCCAATAATAATTAATTCTTTCTCAACATCTGATGAAAATAGTAAATTTAAAACATTTTTTATACAAAAATGTCTGAGAATCTTCTCATAAAATCCCATCACATGTTGCTGAATGACTTCCAGCTCATCAAACAGGTCCCTAAAAGCACCAGCGTGTCACCCCCCTTTTCGTTCTTTTTTTTTATTTTACTGAGACTCTATTTCTGGAATGTGCGACAGTAAAGCTCGGACTGTTTGAACTGAAGGCATCACCGAGGTCGAGCGCTGCACTCTGCACATGTAACTCTGTGTTCTACTGTTTGCTCATGTGTGTCATAGCGAAGCTTTCCAGGAAGCCAGAGCCAAAACGTGTTGTAATACATTCTGAACTAATCCACCGGCTCTTATTTCTGATTTCATTTTCACCGCTTCGTTAAATTAAAGACAAACGATAACTAGTAAAATCAAAGCAAAACTGTCTTAGTTTACGAGTTAACTGTATAAAAACACAAAACAAAACAAAAAAAACAGGCCAAAACTATTAGTAAACTCAAAAATCTGTATTTTTACAAATGTGTGACCATAAAATCACAGCTTCTCTGTATTTAAGTCAATGTAAAGGTCACGTGAACTTACACTGGTTAATAACTCGATTCCAAATAGTGTTTCTGTTCTTTCAAAGGACTTTTTCAGTTAACATCATTATGGCCACACTTTTTTAATTTGACAAACGTTTTCAACATTTCTTTGCTCCAGTTAGACTGTCTCCAGTAGCTTTTTTGCTTTCTTGTGTTTTTATTTGTATTTTTTAGAACTGCAGCTCTGTATTTCTATATCCAATGTTTAAATCGTGCTGATACTGGTTAATATTATGATGTCATTAAAACACAGAAGAGCCAACTTGCAGGTTCCACGTATTTACAACCAGTGTTGGATAATAAATGACGTCCTTCAGCTCCTTTGGTTGCGTTGATGCTTCAGTTTTATCTCATGCTTCTTCTATCGGTGTTCTGATAAACACCATAAACACCGCCACACCGATGTCATACATATATCTATTTGTATGTGGTTGTGCTTTTAGTTCCGGGGAACTTGGGGAACCGACTGGAAGCCAAGATAGACAAGCCGACGCTGGTCCACTGGTTGTGCTACAAGAAGACGGAGAACTGGTTCCCCCTGTGGATCGACATCAACATGTTCATGCCCATAGGTTTGGACTGCTGGATCGACAACATGAGGTAACGCTCTCAACTTTCACCTCCTGCTAGGCCAGGGGTGTCCAATCCTGGTCCTGGAGGGCCACAGTCCTGCATGTTTTAGATGTTTCTCTCTTCCAACACACCTGATTCCAATGATCAGGATCATTGTCAGGCTTCTGCAGAGCTTGATGATGAGCTGATCATTTCAATCAGGTGTGTTGGAAGAGGGAAACATCTAAAACATGCAGGACTGTGGCCCTCCAGGACCAGGATTGCCCACCCCTGTGCTAGACACGTTTTTCCGCCACGTTCTCCCCGGTGTTCCCCCCTGCTGGTCACACTTCCTGTCCATGACCTCCTGTCAGATTTCAGGATGAAGGATTTAGTTTTTTCTGCTTCCTTAAATCTCCCAGTTTGGGCTAATTAGTTTAATTAAACCGGGAAGACCTGTTCGAGGTATTAGGGAATGTTTTTGCCAAAACTGAATTTATGAACGTTCCTCTGCGGGTTCCCCCAGGCTTGTTTACAACAGGACGACTCGGCGTTCTACCAACTCTCCGGGGGTGGAGGTCCGAGTGCCAGGATTTGGCCAAACTTATCCCATCGAGTTTCTGGACAACAGCCAACTAGCTGGTGAGGAAAATCAGTTTTTACTGTCGGATTGGGCGGATCTGTCATATGTAGGAATTTGTTCTGTATACCCAGCTGGCTGGAACGTTCCCACAACGTTGGATAACGGTACCTACAAGTTCTAATATTTTTTTAAAGGACATGTTTCAAGAACATTTTTGGGATATTTTTAGTTTCCAGTAATGCTCCTATAAAGTTAATGTAATGTTTTAATGCCAACTTCAGAGGACGCTGTCGGAAACACAGATTATGTTCTATGATAACAAACAAGGAACGTTGTCAAACCAACGTTCCAAAATTGTTATCGAGGCCTCAGATGATTTTATATTAACAAAGGTGGAACATTCTTCTTGCAATGTTCTGTAGACTTTTGGGAATGTTGTTGAGGGAACACATTATAGAACGTTCTTCTACATAACATTCTCACAGTGTTCCATGATACCAAAGAAGAAACGTTGTCAAACGAACGTTCAAAAAATGTTATCGAGGCCTCAGATGATTTTATATTAAGAAAAGTGTAACATTCTTCTTGCAATATTCTGATGATGTTTGGGGATGTTGTCGAGGGAACACATTATAGAACGTTCCTCTGTATCACATTCGCACAATGTTCCGTGATAACAAAGGAAGAACGTTCTCAAACCAATGTTCCAAAAATGTTTTACAGAGGCTATTGAGCCCTTAAATGATTTCATGAAGCGCACTGTGACATATTAACAAAGGCTGAACATTCTGCCTGCAGTGTTCTCAAGATGTTTTGGGGATGTTCTCAAAGAAACATGTTGCAGAACGTTGTTCTTCTGTAAAGCATCATCACAATGTTCTGTGACAGCAAAGGAGGAATGCTCTCAAACTGGCGTTCAAAAAATGTTTTCCAGATGTAATCAAGACCTCAGATGATTTCACAAAACGTTCCTGTAATGTAACGTATTGACAAAAGGTTCAACATTTTGCCTGCAATGTTTCGATGATGTTTTGGGGATGTTGCTGAGGAAAACATTATAAAGTAAAGTATTGCCACAATGTCAATGATAACAAATGAAGAACGCTCTTAAACAAACATTCAAAAATTGTTTTCCAGATGTTATTGAGGCTTCAGATGACAGAATGTTTTTATACAGAGCGTTTTATTTCCTATAAATCCTATAATGTGACATACTAAAGGTAGAACATGTTACTTTTTTGTGTTTTTTTTGGAGGAAGCACATTATAGAACGTTCTTCTATAAGATGTTTTCACAATGAGAACCAAGGAAGGATGTTTTCGATGCAACATTCCAAACGTTTCCAAGATGTTATGGAGGCCTCAGATGACAAAACGTTCTTTATGACGTTCCTGTACCTCGATGTATTAACCAAGGTATAACATTGTGACTGCAATGTTCTGAGAACGTTTTAGGGATGTTGTCAAGGGAACACGGTACAGAATTTATAAAACATTCCCACAAGGTTCCACAATACTACATGAGAACAAAGGAAGAACATTCTCAGTGCAGCACTCAGTTCTGAGAATGTTACAGTCTAAATATGTTATCACCAAACATTTTTAGAACATCTTTAGTTATCCTGCCTTTAAGGGGAACATTTTGGGAACTAAAACAAAACGTCCCACTGGAAATATTACTAGAACTTTGCTGGATGCTTTGTAACAAGTAAAGTAGATCTGATTGAGTCTCCTGCTGTTTTGCTGCAGGTTATTTTCACACGATGGTGCAGCATTTGGTGAACGCCGGCTACGTCCGAAACGAGACGGTCCGTGGAGCGCCGTACGATTGGAGATTAGCACCGAGTGAGTAGCAAACCTGCACATGTTCCCTCACATGCTTACTGAAGCTGCACCTGGTCGGTTTATGAAGCAGCACACATTAGCCACTGATATGTTTATCTTGAGAGAATATGTAAATGAAACGGTCCGGCTCTCTGCATGCGTCGACTTTGAAGTATAATAAAGTGCATCAGATAGGAAAATGCAAAATGAAGTCCAAATGCTCACAGTTGTTACCAAAACTAGACTAAATGGTGGCACCACATATTGAACTATTTTTATTCTTAGAACCACCTCCACGTTTTCACTCTCCTCTGCACATCAGCTCTAGAAACATGTGTCACCATGCTGAATGTATCTTCCAACAACTCCTGTTTGCTATTTTTGAGCCATGCTGTATTCATTTTTATTAATCAAATACGCACAGCCTGCAGTTCAGCCAAAAAACACGACTGTTGGTCGCAGTTGTGCCACTCGAGGTCCTTCAGTTCCTTCAACGAGTGCAAAATTTTTCATTTTTTTACAGGATCTTATTTGGACAAACAGTTTATTTTTGGCAGATTTTTAAATAAGACACATAAAATGAATGACGGATGAACTGTCACAATTTAAGGCTTAGATGTGAATAAATGGAATTACATGTCACACCTGATTTATTCAAGAACTGCCAGAAAGTTGACAATCTGATCATTCTTTCTATTTTGTCAGTTTCTAGTTTGATGAATGGTGTAATTTTGGCGATTTTATAAAAGGTATCAGGGTTCGAAGAGTCAAAAAAAACAACCTCTTCTGAACAAAGAACTGCTTCACTAATAAAACACTTGATTTAATTTTTTGGTTACTTGTGGGGAAAAAGCTGTAACCACAACACGGACATACATTGTCACCGAGTAGAGTTCAGTTCACATGAGTCCACTTTCATTTATGGAGTTCTCTTGTTAGTTATGCTAGGTTTGACAAGTACTACACAAATAAACTTATTATTTTGTTTGGGTTTGTCCGCTTGTTTTTCACCCACATTTGGCCAAAACGTTATTTACCTATTAAAGCGTTCAACCTGCAACCTTCCTGTCACTCCTCCTCCCACAGATGAGAATGCAGAATACCTCTCAAAGCTGCAGGACCTGGTTGAGGAGATGTACAACCAGTACCAGAAACCAGTTTACCTGCTGGGACACAGCATGGGCTGCCACTACGTCCTCTACTTTCTTAACCACCAGCCTCAGGAATGGAAGGACAAGTACATCAGGGGCTTCATTTCCCTCGGAGCACCATGGGGGGGCGCTATAAAAACACTTAGAGTCATGGCTTCAGGTAATGACAAAGTGCTCAGAGTAGAAAACTGTGCTGGGACTCGCCTCTAGCACTGTCAACAATATAAAGTATTGCTGTTCATGTTTCATATTTTCTGTTATCGCTAATGAGGATCAAAACAGTAATTTTATATTTTATGTTTGGTCATTTTAGCACCTGTCACTATGGTTTCTCATATATTTTGCTACTGAAACTCATCGCAGGTGAAAACGACGGCATCCCGATGATTTCTAACATCAAGATCCGCGAGGAGCAGAGGATGGTGACGACAAATCCCTGGATGCTGCCGTTCAAGGACGTCTGGCCGAAGGACCATGTGTTCATCTCCACGCCGAACTTCAACTACACCAACCTCGACTACGAGCGCTTCTTCAAAGACATCAGCTTCGAGGACGGCTGGTAAGCAACAGCTTAAACGTTTATCTCCTGAACTGAGCTTACCAGACATCTGAAGCTTGTTGCCTCTGTTTGAGGCTAAATGAGCTCCAACTTGCATCACAGTTCCAAACTGAATTGCTTTGTGGGTAATATAGTCAATTAAGAAGGAGGAATAGATATTTTAAACAAACATATCTTAGCTCTGCTACTTCTATGATCTTTATTCCCTCCAGGTGTGATCAAAAAGTTCTGCCTATAAAAATAAAAAACTGTACCATCCCCATCAAAGGAGTCGCTTTGTGTAGCGATGCAGCATTTCTTCAGCAATGCTTGAAACGCTACCTGGAAGCATCATAACGTAAGCATGTCAACCACCATTTGTGACGTTAAATGACAGTCCTTCAACTTGAATTTCACTGCGGAAAAGAAGAAGAAGCCACAGAGAAACAAATCTGGGGTGTAGGGTGAGTGGAGAGCTTCAATTTTGTTGCCATTGGCCAAAAACTTGTCCATAAACATGACATCTACATGGCATTGTGCCAGAGTTCCAGCTGTTTGTGCCGAATGTTCTCCCACAGATGCCTCAGGACGTTAGAGTAGAACTTTGCATTGAGAGTCCGACCCTGACGGACGAATTTCCAATGCACTACCACATGCACTGTGGTTTGCATCCGAGTAGGAATTGGCAGGGATGAGAGTCAGCACCTCGTAGTCCGGGGCCATAGTTCCTTGTCAGTGGTAGGTTTCTACCTCTGGGTTGGGAGTAAGTTGCTGCTTCAAGCAAAGTGGAGCTTAAGTATACCAGGATCCTGTTTGTGAGTGACTGGAAGATGGAGTGCGACATGGACAGATGGTTCAATAATGTAGACATTGCACCTTGGCTAAGAGATAGCTGAGTTGGAAGGTGAAGCTCTTGATTTACCACTCAGGTTAAGATCCAAGTCTCGTCTGTGGTCACAAACTCTCATCTAAAGATGAGGCCAGGGATACAAGCGCCTAGTTTCCTCTGTAGGGTGACGTAGATTAGTATAAGTGATAGGATGAGGAGGTTGGACGTCTGGGGGAGTTTGGAATAGTTGAGCCAGTTGAGGTGGTTCTGACATCCAATCAGGATCCCTCCTGGGTAACTTCTTTGGTCGGTTTTCTGGGTACATACATCCAACTGGGGGGGAAATCCCAGGCAATCCCAGATCTTGCTGAAGGGATATCCCATCTGGCCTAGGAATGCCTTGGGATCCACCAGGAGGAACTGGAAAGCAGTACTGCAGAGAGGGATGTCTTGAATAAGCCTTAGAACCTGATCCAGTTATGAAAACTGCAGGCTCTTCCACAGTGAACTGCTGTTTCTTCTGTTGATGGTAGCCTCAGACCCACCCATCATCACCAGATAGGATCCTCCACATGATGGTTGGATCATCCCAGTTGCTGAGTTACAAAGAAATCAGAGAAATTACCAATGCACACCTGCCAGTTGTCAGAAAAATGTAGGTAACACAGATTCTGATGTTGTTGCCACAAGATCCTGCACTTGTTGAACACAAACCACTAACAGTCTCAGAACTTTTTGATCACCCCTCATATTATGCTTTAAAGTCTTTGCACCTGTACCAAACCCCTCATCCTCATGTTGGTTCCAGGCACATGTGGGAGGACACAAAGAACCTCACCGCTGCTCTCCACCCACCCGACGTGGAGGTGTGGTGTATGTACGGCGTGGGGCTCCCAACTGTGGTGACGTATGTTTACGACGACGAGTTTCCCAACGGAGACCCGGTGGACTTTGTTTACGACGATGGGGATGACACAGTGGACAGCAAGAGCATGAGTCTTTGCAAGCGCTGGGTGGGGCAGCAGAAGAAGCCCGTCCACGTAACGGAGTACCGAGGACTGTCTCACCTGGACATGGTGTTCCACGAGGAGGTGCTCAACCAAATCCAGCAAATTCTGCAGGGCAAATCAGACACGCCCAAAGAGATTGACGTGAGGCTTTCAGCTAAAGAGCAAATGATGGTTTAAAAGCACAAGGGGTGTGGGATTTTTGTACAGCTGACTTTTTAGCAATGTCAAGCATAAAAACGTAGATTAGCACCTCCTCTTAGCTGAACAGCTCCAAACTAATCTGGATTTAAGGAGAATCTAACCTCAACCCCCTTATCTAAAGTAAAGCCTGATGACTTGACAGTGTGGGTTTGACCCTGATCTGTTTATTTCTATTTCACGGCTGTGGATTTTTTGTATCTGGTGATGGTGATTATAATAATAATGATTAAAAATAATAAGAATAATAATTGCAAACATAAAAATATATCTATTTTTTGATGGGTCCGTTATGTTGTAGTCTGTGCTGTTTATCTCATTGTCCTGTTACATCATGTTTTTGGTTTGTTTATCTGTGATGGATCATGAATAACTAATCACATCATCATTATAGATATGGGCTGTTTTATTGTGTATGATATTACTGTAACATTTCATTTAGGATTTATCTATTTTTAGAGATTTTCACAAACATTTTGGATCATTTATAATGAGATCACGTTTTCCTCAGGCACATAGCCTGCATGTGAAACCAAAATTGTAAAATGATAAAAATGTTTTTACAGCACTGTTGTATAAACGTGTGAAATGTGTTTTTTTTTTTTTGTTTGTTTTTTTGTTATTATTAATGTTTCCACTTAAAATAAAGCATTTAATGTCTTGGAAGGCCACACGTGTGCCAATGATTGGTCTGTGGAGATTTTCAGTCTTCCAGATCATAGTACTCTAAGTGCTTCAGTTAGAAGGCACCTGGATTTGTCTTTTTTTTTTTGTTCTTGTAGACGTTTCACCTTTGTCCATGAGATTGCCCCAATTCTATGTGACCGGTGAGGAGTTCCAGGTGTTTATTACTACCCCCAAATCACATGATTCATGGCCTGGTAACAACCAAAGACTCACATGCCTCGAGGTGTAAATTGTTGTGAAACTGTCAGGTGAGGGATTTCAAGACTGCACAAGTGGTGTCGTAAACCCCTTCATTTATTTAGAGTTGGTTGTTCCAGTTTTGGGCTGCAAGGTAGCTCGGTGGTTAGCATCGTTGCCTCGCTGGTGAGGACACCCGGGATCTCTCTGCATGGAGTTTGCATGTTCTCCCCGTGCAGCGTGGGTTCTCTCCGGGTTCTTCGGCTTCCTCCCACACAGTCCAAAAACATGCTGAGGTTAATTGGTGATTCTAAATTGTCCGTAGGTGTGAATGTGAGTGTGCTTCGTTGTCTGTCTCTAAGTGTAGCCCTCTGATAGACTAACTTCACCCTGAGTCAGCTGGGATAGACTCAAGCCCCCCGTGACCCTAGTGAGGATTAAGGTGGTGTATAGATGATGGATGGATGTTTATTTGTGGTTTATTTTGGATTAAAGAAAAAATATGCAGTTTTCTCATTTGTGGTTTCAAATGGAAAAAAGGAGAGCCTGTTTTGTAGTTTTTCATTTATGGTTTGAAGTAGACAAAAAAAAAAAAAAGGCTCATTTTCAACTCTTCTTTTTGTTCCAGGTGTTCATTCTCTCTTCAAAATCACACGGCCCATTGACATCCAACGACTCACATGCCTTGAAGTAGGAATGGTTGTGAAACTGCCTGCTGAAGGATCTTAGGACTGCATTATGTACCTGATAACTGGTGCCGTAGACCCCTTCTTTTGTTTAACTATTCAGTTTGACGCCGATGTCTGCAAGCATTTTCAGTTCATGTGGGTCAAAGTAATCTCTGGAGCTTCAGTTAAAATCAGCTGAACTTCTCTTTTTGTTTTGTGAAGATGTTTCTCCTTCATCCAAGAGATCGTCTCAGTTGTAACTGACTGGTGGAGAGTTCCAGGCGTTGATTCTCACACTCAAGTCACTTGTGGCCAGCTAACAACCAAAGACTCACAAGCCTCGAGGCTGTATCAGAGCTGTCCTTGTTTTTTATATCCTGCTACTGTATTTCATGATCGCCATCAGACCAGCAGGACAGTGTTTATGATACCTTACAATATAACTATTATATGTTTATTGGTCCTACTCATGACATGCTTTCTATGTTCCAGCTGTGTGTCATTCCTTTTCTATGCCACAGGTTCACAAACAAATTGAGGACACAGTGAGAAAACACATTTGTATCTGTTTAATACCAAAAAGGGCCAGTTTTCTTGATTTGTTTTATTTTTATATTTATATTTGAATCTTTTATTTATTTTTATTTTTTCTGTATTTGCACCAACCCACCAGAACAAATTCCTCGTATTTTGTAAACTATATCTGGCAATATACTTGTTTCTGATTCTGATTTTTGGTTGAAAACGTAAAAATTTAATAAAGGGCCTGTTTGCTAGTACATTCATTGGAGTTTTAAACAAAAATAATAATTAAAAAAGAAATAAAATAAAAAGTCCCTATTTTCTTTTTCTTTCTTTTTTTTGTGGTTTAAAAAGGAATAACAAAACAGGCCTGTGTTCTGGTGGTTTTGTTTGTTTGAAAGCACAGAAAACTGAAACAAGGGCCAGATACCTTGTTGTTTCTCTTTCAACATGTCACGAGAACATGATTGAACTTTAGAACCTTTGAGCCACGAGACTCTGGTGTTATTAAAGATCCTGAACCACGTGAGTTATATGTGACAATAAACACCTGGGACTTCCTACCTGTCAGTAAGAACCGAGGAAGTATACTGTATGAGAGATTAAACATTTCCCAGATGATAAAAACAAACAAACAAACAAACAAACAGAGGAAAGTCCAGTGGGAGTGTCAGTGTTCAGCACAAACGTCAAACTTTAATTCTGTGTGTTCGTTCGATGACATCTGCGCTCGATGACTCCGGCCTTGGACTGTTGAAGTTGCCGTTGCCGGGTGGATTGCTCTGTGATCTGCACCTCGTGATGGTAATGATCGTCGGCGGAGGGAACGGACTGGTAAAATGAGCGCAGGCGTTTAAAAGCGAACCAGAGAAACTCGTCTGCGGACCTGAACACACCGGAGAGGGGGGCATGGTCGGCCGGCTATGAGACAGCAGGAGCCATGGCGGGCTGGCACCGGGAAACCGCCTCATCGGTCGGCGTGTTGTTGTTGTTGTTATTGCTGTTGTCGGCATTGAGCTCCGGGAGACCGCAGAAGAAATGTCCCGGAGACAAGCCCTGTCAGTCCTCGAGACCCCCCGTCGTCCTCAGTAGGTGTTTCTTCACCGTTTCCGGTCCTTTTCACTTTTAACATCTGTTGCAAATTACTGACAGCCGCGCAGCTAGCTCATCAGCAGCTAGCGAAAGTCAAGTCAGGCCAGACTCCATTTAAAAGCTCACCAAGTTTCGTTCTCTTCGCTTGTAGCAAACGTTGTGCGAATTTCAAAACAAGATTTAACACTTTTCTAGTTAGGATTTATCCAAGCTTTAATTCGGCTTTAACACATTTGTCCAGTTTTTCAGTACGTCAGTTAAATTACAACTTTTGTACATGTTTGGCCTGTCGGTTCAATTGTCATCTTCTGGCAAAAACACCTGGATTGTCATCGCAGTGGTCGGTGTTATACGTTGAATTTTATTTTAAAGCATTCAAATTTGAGTATTAGTTCTGTGCTGCGTCAATAAATACTTGCCACACTCTAAAAGATGCCGTTAGTTTAATTTTCGCTTTTATATAAATTGAGAGATTTCTGAATGGAGTTCGGTTGGACGAGCTGCCTGGGATTTTCACATAAAAACACACTAATAGGCTGACTAATGTCGATGTAAGTGGGGGGATTGAGTCGGTATTTAAAGCTTTTTGTGTGCAGACATGCTACTACTTGTTGTGCTGTGTAGTATGTGTGTGTTTCCTGTGTGTGTGTGTGTGTGTGTGTGTGTGTTTCCAGTGATTGTTTACAGTCCAGCAGTCCTGATCATATGACTAACTTGGAACAGGATCTGACTCTGTAGCACAGCAGTCCTTTAAGCAACCAGGACACCAGGAAAAGTCCTTTATTTGACTTTTCTGGACTCTAAAACACTGTGTGCAGCTTTAAATGTATAATCCAGGTTTAGGTCCGTGCAGCTAGTTTGAATTCCTTCAGGTCTTGGGTCGACAGAAGTCTTATCTGTGTTGCAACCGGAGCTTTTCTGTCTGTCTACACGAGCGTCCGATAAAAGTCTGTGGAGCTGCTTGACCCACATCGACCTCGGCCTGTTTGTTTGTTGTTGTGGTGAAACAGCGTCTGTGTCCACGTTACATGACCTCAAGACGTGATAAACTGATTCCATATCTTCACTAATTTCCCCCAAAGTCTCGTTATCAGAGCTCTAAAAGAACTTTTATTCTGTGAAGATAAATTCTGACTTCACAGCTCACATCATCGTGTGACAAATCCAGTCTGTGCAGATTGAATGATCCTGTGTCATGATGTTTGACTCAACACAGAGTTACAAAGAACTGCTTACCTTTTCCTGCCAGACTCTACCGACTGCCCCGTGAGTTGTTCTGATTATAGTGTAGTATTTGCAAACTGCCTGAAGAAAACCTTTTAGCAACACGTGACACTCTAAATATTCTTCATACCGGTCCGTTGTTGACTTTGGTGCAAGAACGTGTCAAAAGGAAATTGTAAAAGCATTAAACCACCGGAAAAAGTTTGCATTTGGACTGAAGAGAATTTTCATAATGTGGGCGGTTAAAATGCAAAGATGTGTTAATCTGAAGCCTTCCATCATTACTGCTGCTCACTAAAGTGTGAAGATGGACTAAAAACTCAGGAGGTAGTAAAACACTGCCATATTTATTATAAAAATAAATGCATATATCAAAATATTCACTACAAATACGCAGTGGACAAAAATGTAAAAAAAACAAAAAAAAAAACAACAGATAATATCCAGCTTGCAAATATGGCTTGTATATCTCAATATAAAATAAAATAAATATGCATATATTTACAGAAATAAATGTATTTTAAAAATTTTTACCATGTATACTTAATAAACTTGTTGAAAAAGGTGAAATTTGTTAGCATTTTTTACATGTTATAGTGCCAAATATTCCTCATACTGGTCCAGTTTGGTGCAAGAAAGGAAATAAAGAAAAGTATTAAAATACCTAAAAAAAAAAATTTGCATTTTGACAAAATAAAATTTTTAAACTGTCAGCTACGTAAATACAATTACATTAAAATATATATTAACCTGAAACCATTTATTACCACTCACAGACGTACAAAGACAGACTTAAAGACTGGAATGAGGTAATAAAATATGGTTCTATAGAAAATATATAGTGTAAAAATGAAAAACAAATGTCATGATGTATGCAGTGTGTTAAATGTAAAAAAAAAAAAAGAGAAGGCGGTGTGCAGATATGGTTTGTCTGTCTAAAAAATTGCAAAATAAAATAAAAAAATATGTATGGGGGAAAAAAGGGCTGAAATTTCAAGATATGTTTTCCAGAAGCTGTTATTCTTAGTTTTCTGTTAATAAAGTCCAAAAATCATTCTTCTTTTTGGCATTTAGACATTTATTTGTTGGGTTTATCTGTTGCTCGACAAAAGCTTAACATTTCCACCAGCTAATCTGCTTTTTTTTTTTTTAAAAACTGAATGTGTTTTTGCCTCATACATGAGCTTTGGTTTGGACTTCAGGCTACATATGATGTTTATTATGGAAGTGCAGAACCTTTGTCTTGACTGCTGTTTGCTGCTGATGCTGCAGTTCCAGGAGATCTGGGGAACCAGCTGGAGGCGAGGCTGGACAAGCCCAGCGTGGTCCACTACATCTGCTACAAGAAGACCGACACCTACTTCACTCTGTGGCTCAACCTGGAGCTGCTGGTTCCGGTGGCCATCGACTGCTGGATCGACAACATCAGGTTTGTCCACCACAGGACGCACAAGACGAATGTCCTGTTGTTGATTAGGGTCGCTGTTATTAGAGTTGTTGCTGTTTTAGCTTCAGAAATCATTAACGTTCCACGTTGAAGCTGCGCTATCTGACGGTCAGTGTGGTGCGTCTGTGATTTGAGCTGCATTAATAAGGATGAGCTTCATGACCTGTTCGACTGTCTGTGAAAAGTCATCGAGCTGCACATGATAAATCAACCTTTGAGTCCTTCAGTTATCAAGAAGATACACGAGGAAGCAAAATGCTGATCATTCAAAAAGCTAAAAAACAAGCTGAGTGAGCTTTTAATTTACCAGAAAATGTGTAACTGATTGTTTATTTGTGTAAATATGAGAAATGTCACCTAAAATATCTTTGCTCTGATGCAGTTGAACAGAGAGATCTTACTAAATCGTTGCTGTGCTTCTTGTTCTTCAAACTCAGGTTAAATAATCCAGGTTTACGTGATGATATCAGCTCGTTAATTCTCGTCTAACTTCAGGTCTTTACCTGCAGTTGGACGACTGATTCGTGAACTTTTCTCTTGGCCAACAGGAAGTTACACACAGCGCTTACAGCACATCTACCGCTGGTTGTAAAACATAAAAATCTATTCACGGAAGCACTAAAACTGGCTAAAAAACACATAGAGGGAAGTAATAAAATACAGTGATGTCAAAGAAAAAATACAGTTCAGATATAGTACATATTGAACTATAGTGTAGAAAATATCCAGATGTGTGCAAATATGACTTGTACATCTACAAATCTCAACTACAATAAAAATAAAATGCAATTTATTTGTATATAAATATTTGTATGTCTGTATTAAAATGAATTAGCCTCATTTTACACATAATCCATGATGGTGAAGACACAGAAAAATAAATGTGAGGAAAAAGTATCATGTTGTCCATATTTTTACCTCCAAAATTTCACAAATCATGTTTTCAGGGACGTTTATGCCGCATTAAGAGGCTCTGAAATGTGACAATTAAAAATATCAGAAATGTTAAAATATCTGAAAAAGTCACATTTCAAGATATGTTTACCTGAAACCATCTGTTGTTATTATTATTCTGTGACATTAAAGCCTTAAAACTGAGGAAAATTTATCTTATTTTGAGCATTTAAATATTTTTTTAAAATTGACATTTAGCGTAAAATGCTAAATGCTAAGCATACTCTGCACAAGTGAGACTCATTCGCTAACATTAGCCACCAGAAGCTAGCGGTCAAAGCCGGTTGGAGCAGAAGAGTTTGTTGATTATATTTCTTATTTAAAAAGTTGCACAGTCTGGATTTGAGGACTTTTTGACTGTTTGTTTATTCTACAAAACATTGAACAACACTGAAATCAACATGTGCAACTGGGGTTACAAATACTGGAAACATAAAACGTGGCTCCACATACTACACATATTTTACCTACTATTTAAAATTTTGCTTGCTTGCTTACATTTTGAATTAGTTTCCACACCCGTCTGCTCTCTGCTCCGTCTACACAGCCTGCAGTTCAGCTGAAAAGTCTGTCAATTTTTGCCACCTGACTGTTGGTCACAGCTGAGTCGGTGATGGCTTCACGGTTGCCCCAGAAAACACAGAATTTTTAGTTTTTTACAGGATCTGATTCTAGCAAATGGTTCATTTTTTGGCAATTTTTTTTTAATGAAGCATGTAGAAAAAAGTGATTTTATTGTAGTTTTCTAATAGAATGCAGCATCAGAAATGAGACGTTCAAGGACAATCGAAATGTTGAAACTTTGAATTTATACTTTTGTGAATTTATGAATTCAGGTTTTGTTGATCAGAAGGTTAAATGAAATTAGACTAAATTGAAATTTTGACAGTAATGTACCTCATTTTTCAGGCGTTCTGAATAGACTAAGAGAATCCAACGAGCTGCTCAGGTGGGCGGACAGAACCGGTTTAGTGACTCTTTTGCAATAGCTCAGGATGAGTAAGCGCATTAATAGCAGTAATCCATTTGATTCTCACACGTATCCGCCCTGAGTAGCTCCTGAACGAGGTTTTATTGCTAGTTTAGCTCATCAGGACGCAGTTGATCGGACTAGTTTGACTGGATGAGCGACTGGCAGCTCGTCTTTAATGTAAACAGTCAGACGGCCTGATTCACAGAAGTGAGAAATCCAGTCTGGTGTCCCAACACCAGCCATTAAGTCAAGCCGACTCAGGTTTCACATACAAAGAATAAAATCCGGGTTTAAGCCCAACTGTCTGCGCCTACAGCGAAGCTTTAAAGGTCACTGGAAGCAGGTTTAATGTGGAAATTCAGAGTTTTTATACCAAATGCATGAAAAAAAGTTAAAGCATTTATGTGCAGTCGTCCTCATTTAGTCATACCCTTCCATTAAAGAAATATTCACAATAGTCACTCAAATAACTAAAACTGTAAAAAGTAAGAATAAATAAAAATTTGCTAAATTATGATTTAGAGAAATAAGACGTTGCTTTTGAATTGTGGCTGAAAAGAATAATTTAAAAAAAAGAAACTGTTCCAGACAAATTAGAGCACTTTGCTGATGAGCAGTGGGCCAAAATCCAAACACCTCTCAACAGGTGCAGAAGTCTGACTGAGAGACGCTTGTTGTTTTTTTTTTTCTGTTTCTTTTATATATTTCTGTTGAACCACAATTTAAAAGCAATGTCATGGTTTTCATAACATTTTTTATTTATTTATTATTACTTTTGTCAATTTCAACTTATTTCAGCTGTTTGTTTCCTTCTTTAATGGGAGGCTGTGAAAACATGTGAGGACGACTGCAGCGTGGTTTTCTGCCATGACTCACTTCTGCATGATGTTTTTTTTTTTTTTTCTCACATCTGCGTGAGATTTTTAAAAACCCCAGAGTTGGGGAAGTTGTTGTCGCTCATATCTGACCAGACGCCGGGAAAAAAAACCAGGGAGTGAAACGGGGAAGTGTCTGCTGTCAATCGTAGTAAGAAGTATTTCTGAGTGTTTGCGGTTCGCCGCAGATGCAGAAGTGACTCAGATTCGGTTCTCCTCGTGCAGGTTGATCTACAACAGAACCACTCACACCACCTCGGCGCCACCCGGCGTCGACGTCCAGGTCCCGGGCTTCGGCCAGACGTTCTCGGTGGAGTTCCTGGACCCCAGCAAACGTAGCGTGGGTGAGTCAGTCCTCGGTAGCCTCTTTGAGACAAGCTCTGCTTTCTGTTAACGGGACGGCTTCACGTCTGATGAGCTCTCTGGTCATTGAGTCCCAGCCCAAGTCTGAACGGCCTGCAGTGACATTAACGTGCACAAACAGCGGTGCTCTGAGTCATGGGGACGGACTTTTTCACACATTTTAGCTCCAATATTGAACCGATAACACCTCAGAGACGATCCTTCCTCTGAGTTTATTAAATATCTGCAACATCAAATAGCAGCAGGATCCATATGAGCGTCTCCACAGACAGAGAGCTGCAGCAGTAACTTTATTAACGACCTAAAATCATAAAATCTCCCCGACATGGAAACGGGATGGATCAGGGTTTGGAGAAGCAGCAGATTATCATCACACATGGAGTTGTCTCTGTTTAGGAAATCATAACTAAACTCAGCTGGCAGCTATGTGGACGCTTTAATAAGCTGCTTGTGTTTTATTTGCTGTTGCATTATTACGTGTCATTCATCACCTGGTGTGTTGTCGTCACTTTAACAGGTTGTTGAAGCCAAACGACGTATCACATGTGGAAAAGGGCTTTAGAGAAGTTAGACGTGTCCTCACAAAGATAGAAGAACAACTACCGTCTCTGCTCGTGTTTTGTCACCGAGGTGTTCGGTGCTTCATCTTTCTGTTGCGTTTGTGTGTCACAGGCATGTATTTCTTCAGCATCGTGCAGGCGCTGGTGGAGTGGGGCTACACCAGGGGCGACGACGTCCGAGGGGCGCCCTACGACTGGAGGAAGGCCCCCAGTAAGCAAACACACAAAACACACAACACCAGGGACACACGTGGTCAAAAGTGGACATCAAAGTAAAAAACAACTGGTGAAGTTTATATTTACCAGAACAGACTTTGAATTTTGACTACACTTAATAATTTAGACACTAAAACAAATGAATGTGCACTAAAGTACCTTCAAGCTGACGCTGAGACTTTCACACTTACTAAACAAACTGCTCGACTTTTCTCAGGTTACAGCCTGGAATCAACATGTGCAACGCTTCTCCAAGTCCCCACCGAGGTTACAGATATTAGAAACAGACAACATGGCTCCACTTATGATAGATATTTTACATACTTTTAAAAAATTGCACTTATTTACATTTCCTTACATTCTGAATTAGTTTCCACACCCGTCTCCTCTCTGCTCCGTCTACACAGCCTACAGTTCAACTAAAGGGTCGATCAATTTTTGCCACCTGACTGTTGGTCACAGCTGAGTCACTGATGGCTTCACGGTTGCCCCAGAAAACACAGAATTTTTTTGTTTTTTGCAGGATCTGATTCTAGCAAATGGTTTATTTTTTGTAATTTCTAAATGAGGCATGTAGAATAAAGTGATTTTAATGAAATGTCACAGTTTTTAGGTTAGATTTGGTGAAGTTTTCTAATAGACGTCAGAAATGATACGCTGAAGGATTCCTGCTTTAATCAATCAAACTTTATTTCTGCAGCAGCTTTCAAACAAATCAGCTGCAGCTTAAAGTGTTTTAAAAGCAACGGACGAAACATACGATGCTAAAAAAAAAGATTTAGACTCAAGAAACAGTGGATTTACTGAGAAGTTAAGATGATAAAATATAAATAAAAGATGGTACGATTATTAAAAAATAACATTTTAAAGTATCTCACAAAATCAGTTGATCCAATAAAGATGTAAAGTGTTTTAGAAACATTTAAATATTAGAACTAAAACCATAAACATTAAAGCCAGACTGAATATGTCGGTTTTTAGTTTATATTTTTAAAAATCTGTATTTTCAGCTCCTCCCTTATTGTCTGGAGCGAAGAGGCTGAAGCTACAAGAGAAAAAGCGAAAGATTTCCTGAACCAAGCAGCATTTTCTGACAGATATTCTGGTGTAAACTCGAGGAGCATCTTAAACACTAATAAAACATTTAGAATTAATACTAAAACTCAGCTGATGTGTCAATAATCGCACAACTGAGTTTTTAATCAGCTGGTTTATTGTATGTTTCCGTGGATCAGAAAGCTGTGCATCACAATAGTAGTTATAAAAGTGGGAATAAGTGACTTTGTGTCGCTTCAAAAAAGAAAGAAATGGCCTTAATTTGGAGATTTCAGATAATAAAATACTGTTTATTGTGTTTGAGTCACCAGGCAGGAAATGTTCAGTTACAGAGACACAGTGTACGCTCCTCTCAAGCAGCTGTATTGTACTGTGATCGTTTTCCTTTTTGTCTCTGCGTATAAATAGATAAAAAGAACAGAAGAGTCTCGTGAGTTGACTCGTGACTTTGCCTGAAGCCTGTAAATCACATTAGTTAGTGCTCACGTCACACAGACAGAACACAGTGCTGCTGCCGTGTTATCACTCTGCTTTAATTAAACATTGTTTTGTCTCCAAGAAGCAACAACACTAAAAATAAAAAAATAAAAAAAGGATGTTGGTAGTTATAGTGAACCCCAAAACCAGCCAGTTGGTTTAAAAGGTTATTTTTAAAATGTCGCCAAAATTGCACTACAGCTAGAAACTATGAAAACAGATTGATTTGTCTGGTTTTCAACTGTCCAGCAGTCCTTGAACTAACCGTCGGTGATGTGCGGCTGCATCAGTGAACGTAGTCGAGCCTAAAATCATAGTATTACATCAGGATCCCGTAAATCTGCGTGTTTCATTTTTAAAAATCAACAAAAAATACACTGTTTGCTCAAAACAGATTCTGTAAAAAACAAAAAAATTCAGCAGTTCCTGTTGCAGCTGAAAAGCCTCGACTGACTCAGCTCACACCGACAGGCTGGTTTGGAAAAATCCAGGAACTTTTCAGCTGAACTGCAGGCTGTGTACAGGAGACAAGTACTGCAATATACATATATATAAGTTGCACAATGACTACATTATGAAGAGTCACCTTTGTTTGCCAGTATTGGTATCACCTGTGGGCACTTGGAAAAATGTTGTACATGTTGATTAGAAGTTTTTTCATTTTTTTAATACAATAAATAATGCAAAAAAATCCACTTTTATTCTGCTTTTTTATGATTTATGGCGTTACAGCTGTGTGACAGGAGACAGTTTTCAGTTCTCTCTTCTTCTATTCCTTGTTGTTCTGTTTCCATAGAGATGCAGGAGTTTAAATAATCTGTCAAATAAAAACCCAGAGAAGAAGGAAACCTGGAGAGTTCAGGGACTTTTACCCATCCGGCTACAATTTCCTGTCATCTCCGAGTCTTGCTGTCCAATCAGGAAACAATCTAACGTGAAGCTTATGTTGGGAATGCAGGGAATTCCCAGCTGGGGGAAGCTCGTGTTCTCACCGTCTCTATTGTTTGTTTCTCCTCCAGATGAGAATAAAGATTACTTTCTGGCGCTGCAGCATATGATCGAGGAGATGGCGGAGAAGGCCGGCGGGCCCGTGGTGCTGGTCGCCCACAGCATGGGCAACATGTACACGCTGTACTTCCTCAACCAGCAGCCGCAGGCCTGGAAGGACCGCTACATCAAGGCCTTCGTCTCTCTGGGACCACCGTGGGCCGGCGTGGCCAAGACCCTCCGAGTCATTACCTCGGGTAAGAAGCAAACCGGACCGGAGCAGCAGCACCGATGCTCGCTGTGCTGGGAAAGTCCAGAATACAGAGTAACACACACAATACAACACAAAGTACAGTGATTAACTAATTTGTTAAGTACTGTACCGTAGTCTTCAGACTATTGAGCACAAGGGGAGAACAAGGAGGAGGAGGAGGAGGAGGAGGAGGAGGTGGGAGGAATATTCGGAGATCAAAACTGATATCCTGATTCCACCACAGCGAACAAATAGTTGGCTATTCGGGTCGAGCCCTAGTATGAAAATCCACATTTTCAATACTCCGGGTCATATTTGCGCTTTGCCATCTTGCGTCCAAACATCAACACAAACGTAAAATGAACGTCAAACAAACTATGGTTACCATGCCTGTCAAAACAGAAGCTTTTTCAAAATAAAAAAATAAGTCCAACCTGAGACACACATTATATATTATTTAATTTTGACCAGCTGTCCGCGACCCACCCAGAACAGGTCCGCGACCCACTTTTAGGTTGCGACCCACCAGTTGAGAACCCCTGGTTAGTACATGAGTTAAACACTGTACATGCAGTCTGAGTTACAATAATAGAAGCAACATACCAAAGTATAAACGCTTCTCGTGCCTGTTTGTCACCATGAACAGAATCACTAAAGGCCTCTCAGCTAACACGGCATCAACACGACAAACTTCTCTCCTGTTCAGAAGATTAATGCATGAAAATAAATCAAACTTGAGCTCCAAAGAGTAAAAATCTAACCTCGTTCATTCAAAGGTTTTTCAATATTTAGCTGTTTTCTTCACCGTAGCACAAAACATCCAAACTATGACTCACAGCACTTAGACTCGTGAGTAACGCTTTACACTGAGACCACAAATCCTGCCCTTAATGCATGACTCATGAAAAATGAATGCAGGATGTTTCATGAATTCCCGTCGCTCGCATTAACAATAACCAGGTGACCGCTTTATGCTCAGTGGATCATGACTGAAGGGATTAGCATGCAGCATTGAGATCTCTTTAAAGAATTGCTCTTTATGTAACGCCTTATTGTTTCAGCACAGCCTGGAGAACACTTTGCATTTGCATTGCACCAATAAAAACTCTTCAATCTTTATTTAATTATTAATTATTAATTATTATTAATTCACAGTTGTTTCATACATGAACTGGTGCGATCACTTTCATAAAACTTAATTGTCTTCGTCTCTGAAGGCAGAACTGCACCTGCTCTCATGAAGCTAGAAATAAAGCTTTTGAATAAAATTGCAAACACGACAATAATTATCACAAGTACAATTTTATGTTATTTAAATTCAGGTCATTTGAAATATACTATATATATCACAGGTTGTTTTAATGTCCCTGTAGTGCAGCAACATCTGTGGTAATAACATCTACTGGCCTCGTGCAACTTGATCTAAAGTTTTAGTAAATCTGCAGTTTCCTGATGTTACATTTAATCCTTTCTTGGCAGTGACATCTTTAAACACTTTATCGCTCAGACCACGGTTACGTCAGATCCTGTATGTTGGTGAATGTTTGAATCTAATCTGTAACACACTAAAACTGCAGCGTATTTCAGGGTTATCACTCAGGACAGAATCTGTTTTTTTTATTTAAAGAAATGACAAAGTGAAACTCTCGTCTCACTTTCACTTCTCTGCCTCTTGTTTCCTTTCCCTCCCTCCAGGTGACAATAATCGCATCCCAGTGATCAGCTCGCTGAAGATTCGCGGTCAGCAGCGATCTGCTGTTTCCACCAGCTGGCTGCTCCCCTACGCTCATTCCTGGCCCAAAGATCAGGTGTGTTTATGTTTGATGCTTTTTTTCCCCAATTTATTTTGTTTATTAATCCTTCTGAACCTCAAAAAGCACCAACAGGTTTAAAATGGATGTTATCTGTTTTTATAAATCACCCAAAATGACACCATTGTTCAGAGCTACAAACTGTAAAAACAGAAAGAATCATTAGATTTCCAACAGTCCCAGAACCGTCTTAGTCAGAAAACCTGACCACAACTAGTCACGCTACATTCATCCTGAATAACAGCCTTTGTCATTTGTTAATCACGTTAATTTAAATTGCAATTTTAATTTAAAATCAAGTAATTGTTGAGTGTTAGTATCTATGGTGTTTCATTATGACCAACTCAGTAGTTTGATTTTACTTCAAATTTAAGCTGCATTAACTTTCTAAGTTACTTTATTAAGATTATTTTAGCTAATATGCTAGCAAAAACATCCGAGCACCAACATGATATTCAGCAAGTTTAGGGATGTTAATGACTATTGGGTAATTGATAATTAAAAATATACTAATCAATGAGATAGAAACTTAAGAACATTCATGTCAGGAAACGTATTCTACATGAGCTGTAGTACCTGACTGTGCCACCAGGTGGAGCCTCTTAGTGTTTAACACTGTTGCAACCAGAGGAGGCATCACTCAGACTACCGGCAGCTCCATGTTGACAAACAGAGAGCATTGTTTAGCTAATAAAGGGCACCATGAGGGAGTCTCTTATGACATTTAATGCCC